CAAAGTTTTTCTCCCTTTATTGACAGTGAAAATGAATGGCTCCGAAAGAGCCAAGACTGACGCATTGAATAGCACTGTAAGATTAATGCTAGGTGTCAGGGACGATCACCTGTTATAAAACCACATCATAGGGACATACAACATACCCAATAAATACAATCACAAAATAAAAGATTAACAATATAGTACAACCCACAGCTGTCAAACTAATAAAATGCTAGATTTAATATATACCTGGTTACTTCATGATATTAGCTGATCGTTTGGGAATCAATATATGGTAAGATAGACAAAGTTTACTGCAAAAACATTATACATGTCATCTTTATATATAAATATAGATATCTACAGCAGCATGCTGTAAAACAAAGACACATCACATGTACAGTATATAGATATCTACAGTAGCATGCTGTAAAACAAAGACACATCACATGTATAGTATATAGACATCTACAATAGCATGCTGTAAAACAAAGACACATCATATGTACAGTATCTAGATATCAACAGCAGCATGCTGTAAAACAAAGACACATCATATGTACAGTATGTAGATATCTACAGTATCATGCTGTAAAACAAGACACATGTACAGTATCTAGATATAGTAGCATGCTGTAAAACAAAGACACATCATATGTACAGTATGTAGATATCTACAGTATCATGCTGTAAAACAAGACACATGTACAGTATATAGACATCTACAGTAGCATGCTGTAAAACAAAGACACATCACATGTACAGTATCTAGATATCAACAGTAGCATGCTGTAAAACAAAGACATCACATGTACAGTATCTAGATATCAACAGCAGCATACTGTAAAACAAAGACACATCATATGTACAGTATGTAGATATCTACAGTATCATGCTGTAAAACAAGACACATGTACAGTATCTAGATATCAACAGTAGCATGCTGTAAAACAAAGACACATCATATGTACAGTATGTAGATATCTACAGTATCATGCTGTAAAACAAGACACATGTACAGTATATAGATATCTACAGTAGCATGCTGTAAAACAAAGACACATCATATGTACAGTATCTAGATATCTACAGTAGCATGCTGTAAAACAAAGACACATCATATACTGTATATATTTTACATATCTAAGGTAGCATGCTATAAAACTCGAATATATCACAGGTAAACCTGTTTACAAAAGATATCTCCTACAACGAAACAGCTAATCAATCATTTCTGTTGATTTTGACTGATTCCGTATTAAATTTATTTGATCCATTTATACGGGAATAAAAATCCATTAGATAAAATTTCTTGTGTCGCTAACATGCCCTCATTGAAACTGTGTTGTTAATAACAATTAATTACTTTCACCATCAAATTGGAACAAAAAGTAAACAGCATCCATTATCTCCTGGTACAATAAAAAAAACCTACACCCACTGTTAGAATAACCAACAATATTCAACAAGAGGTGTTACATGAACAATTGAATCAAGTGCAAAAAGGATTCACAGCTAATGGATATTAGTTGGAGTTTGTCATTAAAAGAGCATACATTTAAATGTTATTAATCCTCCTACAAAAATTTGGTAAGATTGATGAGTTTGCTGCTCTGGAGAAAACCGATGAAGATGGACTTAGATTTAACATTGATTTCTGGAGATGATATGATAGATAGAGCTATATTTCACATTACTGTTTTGAGAGGATCTGCGTTTTTTAACTCCGTCTCACAGATTGAGGAAACCTGCTCAGGAGAAATGACAAACGAACAATGCAGGAGTCACCAAGAAATAAACTTTCTCCTTAATCAAACTGTAAACCAGTTGTGATGGGAGACTGATAATAGATGCTATGATGTGTGTTTGAAGAACCGGTATGACAGGGGTGGAGATACAACTTCTCCAGATGTACCATCATACATCATTGATAAAATTAATTGTATATTTAAAAAAATCTCTTGCAGAAATATCAATCATCTCCATGAGTACTTGATTAAGACATTAGCCAATGAAAAATCCTTTTTTGATTTATGGTTGTAAATTATTCTTCCACTTTGATATTTAATCTGACCTTTTGATGATATGTATAATCTTTAGAAATTCATTCTTTTGTTAAAAAATATTCTCATTATGATGAAGTTATTAAGAGTTTGAGTATTCAAAAGAAAGGAAAAGAGAGTGAAAAGACTTGTATTTTTCTATTTCAATTTTTCACCAAACATCACTCCATACTATAATTTGTATTAATTTCTAGAAATGTAGGTTTGAGATATAAGAACTACCACATTTGTGAACCAGTGTATACATTAATCTTCAAAGTCCTACTTAAAACATCACGATCATTACTGTATCACATTGTTTAAAGTCTGAATCATCACAATGTTTGAAGATGTTGATTATTTCCAGCTGAGTGACAAACAGTCTAACAACAAGGTATTGCTTGGATCACCTTGTGAACATGTACTTAAGCTCTAATGTTCAAACTCTGGTAATGGTCTTAAAAGAAACCCTCTGAAATTTCATACCTGTCTTAAGATCAAAATCCCCCAACCCTCAAATATGTGTTTCTTAAATCCTCTGAAGAAACTCAGATTTGCACCACTCTTCAGAATTACATTTAATTCTCAGTATTTATCACTGAAGTCTGTGTCCTGTTACAATATTACTATCATTCTAAACCTCAGGTCTTTGTTTTGTTACAATATCACCATTGGTCTTACACTCAGATCTGTGTTCTGTTACAATATTACCATTGGTCTTACACTCAGGTCTGTCTCCTGTTATAATACTACCATTGGTCTTACACTCAGGTCTGTGTTTTGTTACAATATTACCATTGGTCTTACACTCAGATCTGTATCCTGTTATAATACTACCATTGGTCTTACACTCAGATCTGTGTCCTGTTATAATTCTACCATTGGTCTTACACTCAGGTCTGTATCCTGTTATAATACTACCATTGGTCTTACACTCAGATCTGTATCCTGTTATAATACTACCATTGGTCTTACACTCAGATCTGTGTCCTGTTATAATTCTACCATTGGTCTTACACTCAGGTCTGTATCCTGTAATAATACTACCATTGGTCTTACACTCAGATCTGTATCCTGTTATAATACTACCATTGGTCTTACACTCAGATCTGTGTCCTGTTATAATACTACCATTGGTCTTACACTCAAGTCTGTGTTCTGTTACATTATTACTTTAGATCTAAGACTCATCCTGTTATAATATTAACTATTACTATGTCAACAAGTGAATTACAACAAACCTCCTTAGAGTGTTCAGGTTTCTATTTGAACTTTTGTTTTATTAGGAATTCTATTGAATCCCTTACAGATCTAGTTCTATCTGAGGCTACTGCTAAGTAAGGAATGTTGGATCACCCATTGTTTATAGATCGTACCACTGTTACAACAGAGACTTTTTTTATTGACCCGCCAATCTTCTTAAGAACCCGTTCCAAAATCTTTATAGTTACATTTGCCAGGAAAATGCAGAATTTTATCTGTAGTTATGATAACTGTAGTCTTCTATTCCCTTTTTCCATTTGACGAAAGCTTGGCTGACCCAGCAAACAGATGATACAAAGGCTGTTAATTCTTTATAATTTTTAATTAATAATCCCATATGATGCTGTGAAGCAGGTTGTTTTCACAGGGATCATATTTTGAAAATTTTGGAATGATTTTGATCCATAAAAGAGTAAAAAACGTGTTAATATTATCTGTGTTATAATAAAAATGCAAATTAAGATCTTTGTCACATTTGCACCTTCACTATCTGACTCTTTTCTACAAGGACATTTTAGCAATTAAAATTGATGGGACAGATTAAAAGGAGTCTGATTCAAATTAAGGTAAAGAACACTCTGAAGAATGTATCGTTGTAATTTTCATTACTATGAATCAGGTTGGTGCTTGACTGATACCATCATGTACTGTATTTGAAGCTTGCTATTGAGGGAAATATTCTCATAGATTAGATATTTAAAAATGTTTAAATTTCAATTTTTTCTTTTCAAATGAAAATCACAAAAGTTTTGGTCATCAAAAATAACCAGTAGTTGCATTTTGCGCCCTTGTCTTACTTGGATGGTTAGTTGTGGGTTTTATGTTTTAATGAAACTTGTTTCATTTGGAAATATCTATGATATTTATATAAAGTTTTAATTAGAATCTTTACTTGCTTGGTACAGGTATTACATTGGCTAATTATATATCAGTCTTTTCAAAAAAGTGGTAGCTGAAAATAACACATATGAGTACTGTACAATTTCACTATCAAAATACAAGACACATCCATTAAAAGTGAGAAGTATAGTAATGTGTTTCTCTTCATTGACTCGCATGTAATTAGTTTATCTTAATTGACTCACATCTAGTGAGTTTCCACATAAATGGCCCACATATACAGGTATTTATTTCTTCTCTGACTGGAAACAGGAAATGTTGAAAAAATGCTCCTTCATTTATAATATTCTACATAATGTCCAAGGTGATCTTAATAAGTTCTTCTCTAAACCATACTTGATTCAAAGCTCTCTGTAGTAAGTTGTACATGGCTTAAAACATGTTAAGTGTAGACAAAGTAATTGAGATATATTTTGTAGGAAAAGGTAAGTTAAATATAAACATTTGAAACATGTTGTGATCTCTTGCACATTTTATCACACAGATTTAACCAATACTTCTATATGTTACAGTCTTGGTCAAGTTTTCCATAAAACAGACATTAGATTGTGTTTATTTCCAGCACTAGATTTTTAAAGTCATTCAGCTATATATGTTTACACATTCAGGTATACTGCACAAATTTCCAATAGATATTACTGCAGCCTACATTTTACATTTCACTGAAGTTGCTCATACTTTGCTTAACTCTCGTTCTTAAACAGAATCTAGATATCGTTCTTTTTTTTTGTTTTGTTTAAGGGGAGCTATACAGTTTTATAAGCATTTTCTAACCTGTCTTCATTTTTTGTTTTCATTTTTCTATTTCAGAAAACAAAGAAAGATGTCAGTAACTTTGATCGTGAGTTTACCAGCGAAGCCCTTAAGATGACTCCTACAGACAAGTTGTTCATTATGAACTTGGACCAAACAGAATTCACCGGTTTCTCTTTTGTCAACCCAGAGTATATCGTCACTGTTTGAGAGACTTTCTTTGATGTCAAATGAAGATCTTCTGTGGGGGCCTCCCTTCCAGGGGACCTGAATGAGAGGGCCTTTATCAATTGTCTGATTATGGCCTCCTTGGGGGTCTCCTATCCAGGGCCTGACCCTGGTGGCCTTTATTGATGGTTCCTATTGTGACTTTTGGGGGCCTCCCATCCAGCAGACCTGACTCAGAGGGCTTTCTTGGAGAATCAAATGATGGCCTTCTGTGGCGATCTCCTGAGATGGGAAACCTGACAAAGACAGCCTTCATTGAGGGTTGTATCATGGCTGTTGCTGGGGACCTCACATCCAGAAGATTGAACAGAAAGGGGCCTTCAATAAGGATCATATCAAAGCCTTTGATTGGGCCTCTTTCAAAGAAACTTGACAAATGGAACCTTCAGTGAGTTTCTTATCGTGGTTTTTGCTTGGGAGCCTCACATCCAAAGGAGGTGACCAAGACTCCCATTATGGTCTTAGCTAGGGGAGGCATCCTATCCAGAAGACATGAATAAAGTTGCTTTCATTGTCGGTCTTATCATGGCTTTCTGAGAAGACCACCAACCTCAGAGGCATTTTCAAGAGGGCCTTCATTGAAGGTTTCATCCTTGCTTGGAGTTGGGGGTCTCCTATCCTGGAGGCTTGACCAATGGAGCCTTAATGGATGATTTTGTCATGGTCTTCATAGGAGGCCTCCCCTTCAAACAAACTGACAAAGGAGCCTCATTGTGGGTTTCATCATAGCCTTTTGTAGGAGGCCTCTATTTCAGAAGATCAACCTTGAGGACTCTCAAAGAAGGCTTTGAAAAATGATGGTCATCTGTGGTGACTTCCATCAAGGGACTGATGGGACGCCTTCATTGAGAGTCTTACCGTGACCATCAAAGGGGTTAAACACTGGCTCAAGAAATTGAGAGGGATCGACACTGGCTGGCCAGCTGAATGACCCTACACAGTTTACCACCCTTAACATTTGAACATTATGGAAAATGCGGCTGTCATTTCCGTCAACAGAGAATAAGAATGCCTTTATGCATAATGACACTACTACTTACAGGATGTTTTTCTAAGCTTTTTGCAATCTTAAACTGTTTTCTGCCCATTGTAACAGATAGCATTTCATCATTCCTGAATTATTTTGAATATGGGTCATTTATAAATGTTGATGTAAGAGTGAAGCCATGTTGCTTGTCATTTACATAGTAATGTAATATAGACAAGAGTTATTGTTTGTGATGTATTCATTCATACATAACTTCATACAGCGTAGCATTTTGGACTTTAACAAATTCTTTAAGGTGTTTATATTTCTTTGTATATACTTTTAAATCTGTTTTTAAATGTGTATTTGTCCACTGTTTTCTTGTGTTGTTCCACTAGAAACTGTACAGATGTGTGTTTGTGGCTTAGTTAATTATGTATAGCTAAAGATCTCAAAAACATAGATAATTTGATCCACATTTCAACTTGATTCTTAATAACTTCATATAGCTAAGCCAACATTGGATATGGGAGTTATCTCCCTTTCATTTCTTCATTTCACAGTAGATAGAAAAAGTCAGTGGCAGATTTAAATTGAAATGAATCTTTTATTAGTAACAAAATTTAAAGTAATTGATGTATCTTGTTTTTATTTATGTTTCAGCTTGTGTCAATTAAATTTTCATAATTGAATTCATGCATTTCTTCACGCTAATTGACTTGATGAGGTAAAGACCTACCTACAATCTGAACCGGCTTTCATTAGCCTTACTCTTGTAGATCATTTCTTGTATATAGTCCAAGTATACACATGATATCTTCTGTGGTTCAATCATTGTGTCTATGAATTACAATTGCCGATAATGATGGAGATCATTTTGTGAATATGACACATTATACATGTATTATAACAGATATAATAGGGAAGCCAGCCAAAGTTTGATTTAGAGTAGACACTTATCCTGTTATACCATACTTCCTAAATCTACTGATGACACAAAAGATAAAATCTGGCATATCAAACATGTAGAAACAAAAGACCCTAGTTTCACAATGAAGAATGTTGAGATTCTGTTTGATGAACTTATACTGTATCATTATTGTCTGATCTGCTCTTAAAAAACACAAAAAGAAAAGAAAAATGCTGATTGTGAATTAAGAATGTTTTCATCCCTAGAATTTTTTATGAGACTCAGAGTTCATGATGGTGATTTATTGTTTGATTTCGGAAAATGTGAACACTTCATGGTTGAGTGACTTATGGATAGATCACTGCATGCTCTTTAAAAGCTACAGGATGCATTAAGGTTAAGGATATATGCTGCCGTATTGTATTATGTATCTCCTTTCCATGAAGAGTCCACTGACCTTCTTTAGAATATCATGATGAATGTTATTTGATTTTGTTGATTTTCATAAAAGAAGGTATAATAGATATACCTGAAAATACACTAATGATAGATTAATTAATTCTTAATTATTTAAGGTTAGTTTGCAAGGGAGATAACTCAAGTCTCATGTGCTGTGTCAGGTATTGTGTATCATTGAGTGATTATTTGAGTCATTGGTTAAATACACATCATTATAAACAGTTCTTTGTAATATGTAAATGACTTGACATGCGAGACCATACTGCAAACTAATGTTGAAAGCTATATCTACATGGTAACCACAATGCATTTTTTCATGAGACCATTCTTCAGACTAATGTTGAGTGTTTTATATGCCGGGTGACCCCAATATACTTTTTCATGCATCATGCTCAAAACAATATCAATGTCAACATATGAACTTTCCCCAATTTTGGGAAATCTTGGCTTCCACTCAAATACTTTTTAGTACTGTGTTTTTTTACACAAATGACCTTATCAGGAGCAATTAAGACAAGAAAAATCATAATTTTATTACGTATGATATTTAAAAAGTTCTTTGTTTTATTATATATTCACATATACTGTAATTCATTGGCAAAGACATTTATTGTTGGTATTTCCTGTAAAAACAATCAGGATATGTAAACTGGTGAAACTATTTGTTGATTGAAATTACATTATAAGCTACATAGTAATAATTAAGCAATGTAACCTTAAAAAACTTGTGCAATAAATCACCACACCTTAAGATTAGTGATATTGTAGTGTTTTGTAATCATCCTTGCCAAGTGTTATGTTAATTAAATTATATCAGATTAATTGTAATCTAAGGGGTATCACACTCCAAAGTATTTTGATCTCTACACAGATATATCAAAGTTACATAAAACTACCAGATGTGTTTAATGTTTTCTGTTTTCACCGAAAGTATATGGTCTGTCCTATTTACCTTTCATTGTCATACTGATAACCTATTAAACATTTTAATCTGGAGCTCATCTATAGACCTGTGAATCTCTAGAATTGTTAACAGGTTATTACAGTGGTAAAACAGGCATCACACCTTTGTGTTTTACTTTATTTACACTTCTCAATTTATACACCAAACAGAGAACAGACAGTATAACTCTGAACTTATATGGTTACCCCATTTGATTATTCAAGACAAAGGTCAAAGAGGCAGGTCATTGTACTTGGACTATAACACAGAATCACTCTGATACCAATACACAGTCACAGATTCATTCTTTCTGTCCACTGACAACAATGATCAATAAGAGGAACATTATATATTGGTGGTTATCTAAATTTTGTGCTTTAAGTTTTGGCATGTTAAATATTGACACATGGTTCTTATCTTTCCCCTCTAATTACTTGTATCCTGTGCAGTTCTACATTTATTCCGTCTGTCTACAAGTATGAACTTGGAATCTATTTTATTCTGTACCAAAACATATATTCACAACATTAGTCTTCATCTAACGGTGATATCAATGAAACCAAGCATTTTTTTCATTTAAGATTACTCACAGAGGATGGGCATATTCCAAATACATTTTCATAGAGATAAACAATGGGAATGTGACGAGAAGAGTCGTCTAGATCTACCACTGCATGGTAGTGTTATAATAATCTTGCCAAATTTGTTTTTTTGTCGATTATACCTATTTTTTATTTCACAAACAGATCTCATGGTCCTATAGTAGTATTATTGCTATGGTCCCTTGTATACAGGAATGGTAGGAATGTTTACATATTACACAGGTATCTTATAAAGAATCTCCTACATAGAAAATATTGATTGTTTGTCTTGTTCTTATATCTGTAAATATTACATAATATAGAATTGATATGTTGTGTTTGGTATATATTTTATATGTAAACATAGCTGTATATGTTGTTATATATAAAGCCTGTGAAATCTCTCCCCTAGTAGTACATCTTTAGATCTCTAATGTTGTATATGCATTACGTACTTGGTTTTTATTGTGACCACAGTGTTTTTTTAATTCAATCTTATTTGCTGATAAAGCTCTTATGGAGTCATATAAAATGACCATTTGCTTTTCAAAGTGTGGATAGATAGAATTTGTGTATTCTGCTTTTCGTTGTAAGTAACCAGTTTACTTTTTTTTCAAACTCCAAACTTGCACATTATGCTTTTATCATAAAATAACACATTTCAAAATTTGGGTCTTTTTTTTAACTTAAGAATTCGAAATATTGGAAAATTTAAGTTTAAATTTAAGATTAAGCAATGCAGTAAATTGTTTTCAAAGCGTAGAGCAATGTAATTAGGAAAATTGCTATTTATTTTGACTGGAAATGAGTCCTATTATACAAAATTTTGTTAGTTTCTTATCTACCTGACTTATTCCTAGGAATCAGTGATTTTCTGAGCTGTGACTCCCATCTCAAATAGACTTGTCTCATATTGTGTTGGCCTTTTGTTCCTGATTAAATATATAAAACATTGTGTCAGAATTGTCCGAAATCATAATTTCATTGCATGAAGAATAGAATGGAAAAGCATTGCACTTCCCACATGGACCTTACACAAATTCCAAACCCCTCAGTCTTATATCATGTTATATGAACAGGGAAGCAGGGAATTTATGCCAAGCCCCTGTGGCACTTCTGTAG